CTCTAACCCCCCCGACAAAACTGGCTCAAGAGTAGGATTTCCCCCCGGAAAATTAACTCTAGAGTAGGATTCCCCCACGGATTAATGACTCTAGAGTAGGATTTTCCCCCACGAAAATCCCACATAAGATTCAATTTCCGGTACAAGCATAGGAAAAAGTGCTGAAAATTTACTATGCCAGAATGCGAACATTCATTTTATAAAATACTTTAATTAAAAAAAATGAATTTATTTCTTTCATGAAATAATAATTAATGAAGTGCATTCATTTTTTTTTTTTTCAAAACTTGAAAACCCGTGCTTGTATATTTCTTTTTTTTTTAATTTAGAAAGATCAATGAGCTCTGAATGAAAATGAAGAAATAAAACTGAAATGATATAAACAACAAGAGGTCCATGGGCCACATCGCTCACTTGAGCACTGTGGCTTCGAAAAAAAGAAAGAATCAGTTCAGTATTGAAAAGCTTTAATGAATATGTGGTCCCAACCTACCCCTAAAAAGAGGGGGGGGGGGTTATAATTTGAACAAAACTGAATCTACACTAACTAAAGATGCTTTCATATTTCTTTGACTAATTGTGACTTTTTTCATAACAAGTTTGAACTTTCATTATGGTCCCACCCTTCCCCCGGGGGTCATGTTTTCAACAAATCTGAATCTACACTATCTGAGGATGCTTCCATATAAATATGACTAATCATAGCTTTGCTCTTCTTGAGAACAAGATTTTTTTAAAAAAAAAATGTCCTATGTATCCCTATGCATAACTTTAATAATCAATTGTGACCCCTAAATATCCCCAGGGGGTCATGATTTTAATCAAATATGACTCTACACTACTTTAGGATACTTCCTAATAGTTCATAACCAATGATGGCTTTGGTGTTCTTGAGAAGACTTTTCCTATATATATTTTATGTAAAATTTTGATCGTCCATTGTGGACCCACCCTAAACTCGGGGGTCAGGATTTTAACAATCTTGAATCTACACTACCTGAGAATGATTCCACATGAGTTTCATCTTTCCTTGCCCAGTGGTTCTTGAGAAGGAGATTTTTAAAAGATGCCATTAATTTTTCACTAATTTGAAATTATCTCCCCTTGGAAGAGAGCATGGCCCTTTATTTGAACAAACTCGAATTCCCTTTACTCAAGGATACCCTGTGCCAAGTTTGGTTGAAATTGGTCCAGTAGTTCTGGAGAAGAAGATGAAAATGTGAAAAGTTTACATCGACAACAACGACAGACAACGGACAAATTTCGATCAAAAAAGCTCACTTGAGCCTTCGGCTCAGGTGAGCTAAAAATGTTTATACCCATTACCATGGTAACATTCTTAGTTTGAATTTTTGAATCTTGATTGCAAATGTATATATTTATGTATATTTTGTACCAGCAATGATTTTACATAACAATGTTCTGTAATCTTGATTCTGAGTATCAAAACAATTGAAATTCCTACAAAGAATGACTCTTAACTCTACATAGGATACATTGGTTGCTATGTGCTAAAACTTGTTGCCATAGGAAAATCAAGTGAAAAATAGAATTTTATAAGATATTAATTGCATTGTAAAATTTGCCTTATCACAATTTTATGGCATGCTTTGAAAAATCCTTAACAACAGGTACGTGAACATGCTAAAATCGTTATTCTTTGATGTGTTGCTAAGGGGAAATTGTTGTTACCATGGAGATTACAGATTGTAAAACATTCCAAAGTTTGCAGAGAGGTCTCAAAATTTTCAATTTATTGTAAAATTTGTTTTGAGTATTCAAAGATAACAAGTTAGGTGATTTATGACGTTAGCATTTTACATTTTTTCTCTTTTTATTCATCAAAACATCCATTTTTGTTGCTAGGCAACGGATAGGAATGTTTAAAAATTATACGCTTCTGAATTCAAATTCTAAAAGACAAAATCCTCTGCTTTTATGTTATATACACAGGATGTCTGTATGAGGTCCATCACTGGAGTAATTAGGCATTGAATAATTCCAAAATCAAGGAAAATGCTGAGTCAGCAAAAAGGAAAAACATGCATATATTCCCACATCTATCACAGATATATCTTTAAATCTTATTTCTATATTTTTGATTGTGAAAACTGTTAAGATCATTATCTTGAGAATAACAGCAATGAAAAAGAAATTCTTTTAGTATTTACATTTAATTTGAGCCTGAAAGATACGAGATTTTTTAGTCCATCGAAGCTGAAAACTGGCTGGTTGCTAGGGAAATTTCTCTACCCATGTTTCCATGGTAACCGTGAATCAAAACATTTTTCCTTTTGCATACATGTTTCATAGGGCAAAAGAAAACTATGTGTGGAAAATCATCAAATTCTGAGAACCCTCATATATCACCTACATGCCTATTTTGCATGATTTTTACAAAGAACTGTACTTAAGTGCAATATGCACATTATTATTTACCATTCCCATGCTCACATTTACAAACAATTGATTTGTAAACGTCATTTGTAAAAATCATTCTATTGTCTAAAGTGGCTTGCTAACAATTGTCTGTATTTCCATTTTGTAGTACCAGTGGAATCCTTGGACCAAAACTATTGTACTAAGATGTACAATCGTTTTATCATGTGTTGGTCATTGCGAAGTTTAAATGTTTTTATTGTGATGGTTTAGTGAAGGGATTTCAATCTATAATTTGACTCAGAATAACAACTTAGTTTCTTAATGCCCTACTCGTTAAAAATGCTCGTCAGACTGCAAAATATCCTGTAGACATCTTAGACTTACTCTAAACTTCTTTATAAAAGTGACACAGAGTTGACGATACACATATCATAACATACTTGAACATTGTAGTCTTTAATAACAAATCTAGGCCTGTCGGAAGCAATTTCAAATGGGGGCGACAAGCAAACACAAAAAAGGAAGGATCATCAGAAGTTCTTTTTTGAAATGGCACATCAGTAAATTAGCTTTGTTTCTATTGTCAGACCTGAAATACACTGGTTGAACTCGGGGGTTCGGATAAATGCAGGAAGTTTGGGAAAAAAATGATCTATCGATCGAACCAAGTTTGAAGGCCAAGGTATTTATACATTTTGAGATATGAGGCGAAAAGTGAGGTCCTTGGTACCGTGGGACAGACTATAAACATATATTTATGAAGTGATCGCTTGTATATTTGGTTTCCAAGATCATGCTCCGCATGCATTTCCTAGCTCTAGAATATTTTTTTTGTTTGCTCTGCAAAAAAAAATGTTATGAAAAAAAATAAATAAGTAAGGTTGTGTTTGGTACTCATATACTGTTTGTGACAGGTTTGATATTTTAGCCTCATTCGTGCAGTCATTCATAAGCTCCGCCAAAATATTATACAATTATGGACTCTTTCGGTGGTGAATATGGTGAATATGGTTTGTTGTTCACCAGAAAAATATCAATATTGACCGAGGCGAAGCCATAATTGTTTTATTATATAGTCCGGATTTAAATAAATCAGACATTGAAGGCTGCGTGATGATATCACTTTCATTTACGAACTTCTGTCGTGGAAAAATAAAAAAAATGCCCAAATTACAAGTTATAGCTTCCGTGTTTTCCTTTTGCTGTTTGTAAGACATCGAAATGTTTAGAAAATAATCCTGCGATAGGCTTGGCTACTGTTTTTCCTGCTCAGATACACAGCTGGTTCTTGCCGTTGCAACCATTGTTTACAACGTTGTTTGAGATGTTGATTGTGACGTCACAATGCCGCTGCACGCGCACCGACCCTCCGGTGAATACGGCTTCAAAACCAGTGAATATGTAGTGTTATGAACTGTTTGCGTTTGTATAGATTATATAGGGACTATAAATAGACTATATATTAATATTTAAAATTGGTGAGATGTATCACATTGTTAATTTTGAATTGACGGGTTGAAGTAAATACAACATTTAGAAGATGTCATGCTGTAAATTATGTATTTACTGCCACCCAGTACTTTCAAAATTTGCAACAATTGGATGAAAAGGAAGATAGAGTAGATGGTATCATAAAAAAAATATGTTTACACGTTTATTATTGGGTGCATTCACACATATACTGTATATTTTTTGATAGCAAAAAAAGTTTGCAGAAATGTTAAGCACATAGTGAAATGCAAACATATTAGTTACAATTCAAGCCTCTATTATATTTATGATAAATTATGCATATCTTTGGTCAATGAATCTTATCTAAAAAGACAGTGCGAAATATATCCGTGCGATGCTCAGAATTCTGTAAATAATTAGATGCAAACTCTAGGTAAATGCTCATCCAATTCTGTTATTCCTTTATAAGGGAAGATGGATATTATGTACAAACTTTGTTGTTATTTACGTTACTTTGGCGTTAATGTAGTATTAAATAAATATGCATTGAAGCAAAAGTCCAGCTTCACTATAGTGTAAAAGGCTGTGTTATCTAATATTTACATTAAAATACATTTGCTGTGTTTTTCTACTTAAAAAACTTTGAAATTGATTTGAATGCCATTTTCGTAGCTAAAGTGACATCACAATGAGTTACAGAGATGTTAAAAAATTTAATTAAATAAGGCAGCGAGAAATTCAAACATTGAGGTTTTTTTGGTGCTTTTAAAATGTAAAATGTAAATATAGCGCGCTTCATGAAATGTGTGATTTACACACCAATTACATACAAAAATTAAAAAACAATATTATCACAGATAATTCAATTTATGCCGCTATGAGAAATCTGGTAAATTTTACACCGTCGGATAGTTATGGATTTTTAAACCAATCAAATTCTTTGTTTTTGTTGCGCCATTTCTGCAAAGCCTGTTTAGTGCAGTGAAAAATAAAAATACATTATCGTTGTGAACTAGCTAGACCCCTTGAAATAACATCGTTTTTGTGTTCTAGCAGTTCCATTCACCAGCCTACTTCACAAAAGTAGCGATATTCAAGGCAAGTAAGCTTGTAGCAGTGTTTTACATCCACGTGCTGGGTAAACCGCGTGGCCGTATACTTATAACATGGCAGGGGTGGATCCCAATTCTGTGAAAATACAGATATGTCTCCTTGGTCATTCCTTCATTCGTAGACTTTCAGAGTTTATGGACTCTAATCCGGATTTTAAAGATCTTAATTTAGATGCAGAAAATTATGAAATAACTGTGTGTGCTAAAGGGGGACTGCGTACAGGTGGACTTCAGTGTATGTTAAAAGGAATAACCGGGCATCCCGACATTCATTTCATACAAATAGGTGGGAATGACATTGGTTATTTATCGAATGAGAAGATCGTTATAAACATTCTCTCCTTTTCTGAGTACCTAACTCAGGGATTGGATTCAAAAAGAGTTATTATTGGCCAGCTTCTAAGAAGAGACCCATCTGTGAGCGTTGCAGGGTACAACGATTCTGTTGTTGAAATTAACAGCCTCCTCACACAAAAGACACAGGCACATGAAAGAATATTTTTCTGGAGGCACAGAGGGTTTTGGCAAAACTTGTCACACTTGGCAAGGGACGGTGTACACCTCGACAACCCCCCTCTGAAGCATTTGAAGCACGGGGACCCCCCTTCGCCCATGCATAAGTATTGGAGAAGTGTCAGGAATGCAGTAATTGTGCATTCCTGTCAATTAAGGCCAGTATTAGGTTTTGGTTACAACAACGAAAAACATTAATTGTTTGTATGTAAACATATTTGCATATTTGGAGCAGCTTAATTATTCTGTAATCATATGTCCTTTTGTATTTGCTGCAAACTTTTTATAAATACAGGCTAATTGGTGCAACAGGGCCAATTTTGGTAATATATATTTGTTTTACATATATGTACCTGTTACCACACCATGTGTTCTGCTTATCATGATTTGTCCTTCAATGTTGTTCAGTAAAGCATTGATGTATAACTGTTCAGTATAACAGTTTTCACTCACTTGATGTTCAGTATAGCATCACCCTATAAATGCTTAGTATAGCATTATAGCATTACCCTTTATATGCTCAGTATAGCATCACCCTATAAATGCTCAGTATAGCATTATATAACTGTTTAGTATAACAGTGTGGTTCATTGGTGCCTTTATGGCATCACTAGTTGTTCTGTGTATATGTATAGAGATGCCCAGTATGACATCTGCATGAAGCTGTTCAGTACAACAGTCTTGCCTTTTTTAAGGGGGAGGGGTTGTATAAATGACATTACTTCGAGTCCTTTGTATACAAATGTAGATGTTTAATGGAACATCACCACCTGTCTGGTCAATAGAACAGTAAACATAAAGTAGGTGTTAAGTACACCTTCTCGTTAGGGTGGTTCATTATATCGTCTACAGTTCTGTTGTCCATATCTGCAGCCCTTGAAAATTTTTGATTGTTAACTAACATGCTAATCTGCCTATTAGTCAGGCCTTATGAATTATTTAAGATTGTAAACCAAATGGTTTATGCTTGGTGGGATTTAAACATTATTTATTACATGGGCTGTCAGACGAAATCCAAAAATTTATACATTTTACACATTAGCTACAAGTTCATGTAGTTCTTTGTGTGATTATGGGTTCTAAATTCTTTCTAATTTAACACAGGGACAATGCCAAGACAAAAAAGAGGCCTATCTCAGCCAAAAACAGCACAGCCTTCCAAACGTAAGAGGAGTGCAACAAAAAGCACACCCTGCACTGTGGTAAATGAACAACAAACTGAAACCACCTCACCTGCAGCTATGAACACCAATGCCGTTCAGGTTGACTATGTAAAATTGGCAGCGGAGATACTCAAACAACAAAACGCTGCATCTCAACAGACTGCACTCATTCGAGATCCATCAGACACCTCAGCTCCATCCCCTTCAGCTCCGTCTACTTTGGCTCTGTCCACTTCAGCTCCGTCCACTTTGGCTCCAGCCACTTCGGATCAACCCCCACCGGCTACATCCTCAGCGTCACAGGCTGCGGATCTATTGTCTTTAATTGACAATGTTTTTAGTAGTAAAACAGGTGAGTCAGTAAGGGAAAAAAATCTACCCACCATCAACATTGCAGACGGCATCCCTTTAGGGGCGGGGATAAGTCAAAAAACAAAACAAAAAATATGGGACAATGAATTCATTGACCTCATGTCCCTATTACCTAACCAATTTGACGACCCTGTATCAGTTACCATTGGGGCGGGTTCCATCAACTTCCAACATGGCAACAAACCAAAATCCCCCTTAACTATTTATCAGTGGACTGATGCCTTCCTCATATTCACCTGCATCTTTCTACAAAAACATCCCTCAGAAGCCCCCAATCTCTTAAAATACTGCAGTTTAGTTCGAGAGATTTACACTATGTCAACCGATGGGGCTTGGCGTATTTATGATGAAAATTTCCGTCGTTTAAGGCAATCAACAAATCTTCCTTGGCAAAAACCAGTGGAAGAACTGCGCATCAAAGCGCTTTCAAAATCAAAAGGTCAATATACAAATGATACTTTTCGCAAATCCAGACAGTTCAACAAAGGGGGGAAAGTCTGCTTTGCTTTCAACAGGGGGGACAAGTGTAAATCCTTCCCTTGCCAATACCCACACATCTGCCAACTATGCAAAGGATCACACGCAAAGTTCAATTGCAAGGAACTTGCCTACACCAAGCAATTCAAATCTAGCACCACATCTGCCGACACCAGTAAACCTAAAAAACCTTAATTCCTTTCTCTCAGGCTATGACACACTAGCCCGCTCAAAATTAGTACAGGGTTTTTCAGAGGGTTTTCACTTAGGTTGTCAAGGTTTCCCTTCTAGTAATATCTCTAAAAATCACAAGAGCTGTGCCCAGCACCCAGAAATCATAGACTCCTTCATTCAAGAAGGCTTACAAAAAAGTAGGCTAGCTGGTCCGTTTGAATTGCCACCTTTTCCAGTATTTAAATCCTCCCCACTGGGGGTTGTCCCAAAATCTGAACCTGGAAAATTTCGCATTATCCATGATTTATCTTATCCAAAAACAAATTCAGTTAATATGTTCATTCCTCAAGAAAACTCAAACGTAAGCTACGATTCTATTGATAAAGTTGTTGAACTTGTTCAAAAGTTTGGCACAAGAAGTTTGATGGCCAAGTCAGACATTCAGGATGCATTTAGAATTGTGCCCATTCACCCTGCAGACTACCATCTCCTGGGTTTTTCTTGGAATGGCAAATTTTACTATGACCGTTGTCTCCCTATGGGGGCCAGTAGTTCCTGCCAAATTTTTGAGTCCTTCAGCACTGCTTTAGAGTGGATAATGTATGCAAAATTTGGTGCTCTGGGTATGTCTCACATTTTAGATGACTTTCTCTTTGTGGGCCCACCTGATAAGTTAAATTGTCGAGATGACTTAACCAATTTCCTGTTTCTCTGTGCAAGGTTGAATGTTCCAATCAAACTGGACAAAACAGTTCCTCCTACAACTTGTCTTACAATCTATGGTATAGAGGTTGATACAGTTTCCATGGAATGCCGTTTACCACAAGTCAAAGTAGAAAAGATTAGAAACAAACTGCATGAATTTCAGGGCAAATCTAAGACCTCCTTAAGAGAAATTCAGTCTCTTATAGGCCTCCTTAATTTTGCTTGCTCAGTTGTGGTACCAGGCCGAGCCTTTCTACGCCGCTTAATTAATCTTACCTGTAAAATTTCAAATCCCTTTCACCCCATCAACCTTAACAGTGAAGCTCAAGCTGATATCAATATGTGGAAATTTTTTATAGATAAATTTAATGGAAAATCCATCTTTCTTTCACAATATTGGGTCACATCAGAAGACATGACACTTTTTACTGATGCAGCAGGGTCTATTGGTTTTGCTGGGGTGTTGGGAAACAAGTGGTTTGCTCAAAAATGGCCAAAGGATCTAGAAGACTACCAAATAGCTATTAAAGAAATATTCCCTATTGTACTTGCAATAGAGGTATGGGCCCCATTGTTAGGAAACAAAAAAATCTTATTCATGTCTGATAATCAAGCAGTGGTGGACATTATAAACAAAACATCATCAAAAGACGCCACTCTCATGAAACTAGTCAGGCGTCTTGTTTTCTGCTGCTTGACAAATAACATATTGTTTAGAGCTAAACATATCCCTGGCAAACTTAATACTTTAGCCGACAAACTGTCTCGTTTTCAATTTCAGGAGGCTGCCAGCATTGCCCCAAATCTGTCTTCAATACAAACATTCATTCCGTCTCACTTACTAGAGATCTGAGTGCATCCTCCCAACATCTTCTTCAGGCTGCACTTTCAACATCTTCAAGAGTGGCATACCACAGAAGCTGGCAGCTCTTCCTCCAGTGGAAACCTTCATTCACCTCATTACCGGTGTCAGAGGTAGATTTGTGCAATTTTATTGGATATCTCTTCTCTGAGAATTATGCCCCATCCTCAGTATCTTCACATGTCTCAGCAATAGGCTACCTCCACAAAATCTGCAGCTTACCAGATCCCACTGAAAAATTCCTACCCAAAAAACTCCTGAAAGGATGCCATGCACTAGTGCCACAGCAGGACACAAGACTTCCAATTACAACGGACATCCTGCGTAAAATTATTCAGGCTATTAACATTGTTGAACCACTCTTAGGTAATAGGTTACTACTTAAAGCCTTCTATCTTCTGGCCTTTCAAGCTTTCTTAAGAATAGGTGAACTCGCCACTCGTTCCGCTAACTCTAATCATGTATTACAGCGTTCTGATGTTAGCTTCAGAGTCTCAAATGGCATCTTATCAGGGGTTACCATTGTTATGAAACATTTCAAGAATAACACTGAGCAGAAACCAGTTACTTTGCACCTTTCAAACAGCAGTTCCATTACCTTCTGCCCTGTTAAGGCATTGTATGATTACACTACTCACTTTGCTCACACTTCAGGGCCACTTTTTCAATTCATGAGTGGGGAACCAGTCACACACCATTTTATAAGCCAGCAGCTATGCAAGTTAGTCTCATTCATTGGCCTTGATCCAAAACTGTACAAAGGACACAGTTTTCGAATTGGTGCAGCAACTCATGCAGCATCTCTGGGTTTCTCTGAAAACTATATTCAGAAGCTGGGTAGATGGCGCTCGAATGCAGTACGCAGGTACATCCGCATATCTTCATTTGATATATAACCTCCCAAAATCTATTTAAATCCACACCTGAGTTCAGCATCTGGCTGCTCATTTTTTGTGGATGGCTAGCAGACCCCTTCCATTCCTGAGTCCAGCATTTGGCTGCTCATTATACCTGCATACTTTATACGAGTCCAGCTTTTTGCTACTTATCTCATTTCCCCCTTCCTTTCTGTGCTGGTCTAGCAGTTGGCTACCAGAACATAGTTTTGCCATATATTTGTTTTGCAATATTAGAATATAAATTCCTACTTCAAAACACAAGAGACATGGTCAGCAGTTGGCTGCATGTCTCATATCTATTTTCCCAATGTAATAACCTTGTAAATTTATGAATAACTAAACATTTTTGTAGTATTTTGCTTTCCCTTGCTGGCTAACCACACTCGAATAGCTTACAGTTGACAATTAATGCCCTTGTTGCTTCAGTATTTGTTATTCATCAGGAACACTTAGTCACAAAACATGTAGCCAAATATGTGTAGTTCATGTTTTAGTACTGTTTATATACATGATGGAAAATTACTGTATAAAATTACTGTAATTTACTGTCTGGGTAAAGTTGTTTTCTTTGGATTTTCTTTTTTCCTTGTTTGGCGTCTATCCCTCACTGCTTGAGGGCTTGTGGCGCAATTGTTTGGACGCCTCCAAGGATTAACTCATTTATGTTATTTTTTATGCATATGTATTGTACTCTGATATTTTCACTGCATGTAATTTTCTAGTCAGTCTCAGGGGGATCACACTTGTACCTATCACCTATGTACATGTTTCATCTTGTAGTGTTTATTAGGTGATCCCCCTTAATAATTTGTTATACATTTTACTTTACATTTTACCTTATGTCATTCAAATAAATGACATAATCGACAAAACTGTATATCTGTGTTGGGTTATTCTTTGCTGCCCTATCAGGCTAATTTCTCATAGGAGGCATAAAACAATATTATCACAGATAATTCAATTTATGCCGCTATGAGAAATCTGGTAAATTTTACACCGTCGGATAGTTATGGATTTTTAAACCAATCAAATTCTTTGTTTTTGTTGCGCCATTTCTGCAAAGCCTGTTTAGTGCAGTGAAAAATAAAACCCACCACCCACCCTTTGCCAAAACTTGTTATATGGGTATGTATATTGTCAATAAGGCATTATGGGTTTGGTCTTGTATTTTACATTCTAGTCATAACTGTAGTAGTTTTCAAATACCTTTTTCACATGTTCCATGTGATCGGCGCAATTGTTTGGACGCCTTCGATGTGATCGGCGCAATTGTTTGGACGCCTCCAAGGATTAACTCATTTATGTTATTTTTTATGCATATGTATTGTACTCTGATATTTTCACTGCATGTAATTTTCTAGTCAGTCTCAGGGGGATCACACTTGTACCTATCACCTATGTACATGTTTCATCTTGTAGTGTTTATTAGGTGATCCCCCTTAATAATTTGTTATACATTTTACTTTACATTTTACCTTATGTCATTCAAATAAATGACATAATCGACAAAACTGTATATCTGTGTTGGGTTATTCTTTGCTGCCCTATCAGGCTAATTTCTCATAGGAGGCATAAAAAAACATTCCTTAGTATTTATCGACCTAAGTTCATCAAAACAAATTTTACATCCCTATAAACACAAAAAGATGGTGAATAAGATTGATGCCATAAGTGTTGCTGATGTTGCTGTGCTTGCTTCTGATGTTGGTTTGTAATCTTCCTTACAAGTGTCCAAACAATTAGCTTGGCAATTCTCCCGGGCAATCTCTGTGTTACATGAATCGAGAGCTGTAAACATAGAAAAACGTGTTTGCTGCCTCTTTTCCACAGCTAACTCCCGATAATAAGCCCCCACACTGCCATTTACACATGGATTTTTCATTGCTTCTGTTAAAAAGGCACGGCATTCTGGGATACATCCTGAGAGCATTTTACAGTTATCGAAGACGGCCTTTATAAAAGCGGCAGTGGCAGGATGATTATCATCGATAAACGCCGTAGTATTACAACCATTTACAATTATAACTTTATCTCCATAAGCATTTAGAGAGTTCTCGCTTATGTCTTGCCACTGTGTACAGGTGGTCAAAGTGAGGTTTTCCATAGGGTGGTAGGTGAGAAATCCCAAACACATTTCGTCATTAGTTGCGTCACCTTTGTACACAGTTCTGTTCATGTTCATAGAGGAAAATACACACGTCGTGATTATTTCGTCCCCGGGTCTGAACTCGATAGGTGTTGTAAATCTACAATGTAAAAAATAGTTTTTAGCTCACCTGAGCTGAAGGCTCAAATGAGCTTTTCTGATCAGACTTTGTCCGTTGTCTGTAGTCGTCGTTGTCATAAACTTTTCACATTTTCACTTTTCTCCAGAACCATTGGGCAAATAAATTTCAACCAAATTGGCACAGAGTATTCTTGGGTGAAGGGATTCAAGTTTGTTCAAAAGAAGGGTCACATCCTGTTCCAAGGGAAGAAAATTTTTAAAAGTAGTGAAAATTGGGTGCTGTAATTTAAAAATCTTCTTCTCAAGAACCACTAGGCCAGAATAGATGAAACTTACCTGAAAGCTTATTTGACATAATGAATATTCAAGATTGTTAAAATCATGACCTCCAGGAGAAGAGGCAACTATGGGCGATCAAAGTTTAACATAGAAAAACAAAATAGAAAAGTCTTCTCAAGAACAGCAAAGCCATGATTACTCATATTTATATTGAAGCTTCCTCAAGTAAGTTATATTCAACTTTGTTCAAATCATGAACACTCCCCCCCCCCCGGGGGGGGGGGTAATGTGGGGCCACGATGGGAAATCAATGCTGTATATATATTAGGAATATATAGGAAAAATCTTTTTAAAAAATCTTCTTCCCAAGAACAGCAAAGCCATGATTAGTCGAATCTATACGGAAACATCATCAGGCAGTTTAGATTCAAGTTTGTTCAAATCATAACCCTAGGAGGTAGGGTGGGCAACAATCGGCAATCAAAGTTTTACATAACTCTCTCTCTCTCTCTCTCTCTCTCTCTCTCTCTATATATATATATATATATTCTTAGAATAGCAAATCCATGATTAGTCATATTCATATGGAAGCATCCTCAGGTAGTGTAGATTTAAGTTTGTTCAAAACATGACTCCCGTGGGTACTAAGGTGGGGCCACGATGGGGGATCAAAATTTTACAAAGTAATATATAGGGAAATCTTACAAAATGTTCTTCTAACGAACCCATGATAAGCTATATTGATATGGAAACCTCTTCAGGTACTGTAGATTCAAGTTTTTTCAAATCCAAACCCTGGGGGAAAATCTTTAAAAAGTCTTCTTTCCAGAACAAAAAAGTTATGATTAGTCATATTGATATGGAAACATCCTAAGGTAGCGTAGAATCAAGTTTATTCAAATCATGGCCCTGGGGATAGGAAGGGAGCACATTGGCGATCAAAGTTTTACATAGGAATATTGTATAACGGTAGAATTTTTTTTTTTGCAATTTGACCCCTGAAAGGTGGCAAATAAATTTCTTCGTTTTCAATTTCTGCCGTCGCAACATACGACAAAAATTTATTTACGGGATATGAACACTAGATTCTAAGGATTTGGCAGAACACTGCGATGTTAACGTTTTATAAATTCATTTAAAGACGAGTTAATTAAAGGTGCATGAGAACTGGTACTAAGATCTACTACCCTTTTAGTTCTTCGTAATCTATTTTCAAATCCTTTTTTGCCCCCGTAATCGATGATTCGGGGGCATGTAGTTTTTGCCCTGTCCGTCCGTCTGTCTGTCTGTTTGTCCGCAAAAACTTTAACTTGCCCATAACTTTTGATTGGTTGAAGCTATGACTTTCATATTTCACATTCCTTTTGACAAGACGTTTCCTTGGGTACCATCATATTTGACCTTTTGACCTTGACCTTGGAGTTTGACCCACTTTTGCAAAATTTTATGAGACTTTAGGCCATAACTTTTGAATAGTTGGTACTTGGGATTTCAAACTTCACATGTGTATTTCTTGTGACAAGTCCTTTCTTTGGACACCAAAAACGTTGACCCTTTGACCTTGATCCTCGAGTTTGACCTACTGTTAACCTTGGCCATAACTTTTAGTTTGTGCTAGGGCTTTTCATATTTCACATGTGTATTCCTTCTGACATGACCTTCCTTAGCACACCAAAAACTTTGACCCTTTGACCTTGGAGATTGACCTACTTTAATTTTGAGAAACTTTAACCTAGGCCATAACTTTTGAACAGTTAGTGCTAGGATTTTCATACTTCACATGTGTATTCCTTGTGACAAGACCTTCCTTTGGACACCAACAACTTTGACCCTTTGATCTTGACTTTGGAGTTTGACCTACTGTTGAAAAAACTTTAACCTTGGCCATTACTTTTGAACAGTTGGTGTTAGGGCTTTCATACTTCACATATGCATTCCTTGTGACAAGACCTTACTTTAGATACCAACAACTTTGACCCTTTGACCTTGACCCTGGAGTTTGACTTACTTTTGAAAAACTTTAACCTTTCCCATAACTTTTGAACAGTTGATGTTATGGTTTTCATACTTCACATGTATATTCCTTGTGACAAGACCGTCCTTTGGATACCAACAATTTTGGCATTGACCTTGGAGTTTGAGCTACTTTTAAAAAAATTAACCTTGGCCATAACATTTGAACGTGTGGTTCTAGGGCTTTCACACTTCAGGATGATGTGTATCACTTGTGAAAAGACCTCCGTTTGGGCACCATTTTATCTTGACCTTGCCATTTTACTTAGTTTGAAAAAACTTTAACCTTTGCCATAATTTTCTAATGGTTGGTGCTAGTGCTTTCATATTTCACAGGTATATTCCTCTAGATAAGACCTTTCTTTGGGTATCAACGTTTTTGATCTCTTGACCTGGAGTTTGACTTGCGTTTGAGAAACTTTAACCCTCGCCATAAGCTGCCATACGGGTCATCAGTGTTTCACAAACACATCTTGTTATTTCATATATCCGTAAACATAATTTTTTTTTAGAATATAGAGTAAGAAGTTATGAAATAACATTCAACCAGGTTGACTGACATAAGCACGACTTATCAGACTTGCAGGTATAAAATATATGAATCAATATTGAAGAAATATTTTGCGATTGTAATTTTTGCGGATTTGTCCTATCCGCGAAATTCCACAAAATTGGACAACCGCAGAAAATACCCCTTGTACGGTATATACGGGGAAAATGCTGACAAAGAGCAGAAGGGCCATAGTGACTCAGGTGAGCATTGTGGGCCATGGGCCTCTTGTTTAAAGATACATCTGAATGATGAATCTACTATTTGGGCCCTTTGAATTGATCATTCTGGAAAGGTACGTCTGACATTGCTTTTCCGTAACACACTACAGTAATTCTATCTCAATGACAAATATCACATATACATTTCTAGGAAGTACGTTGATAAGGGATGTGCAGTGACCTTGAGCTGAGATCAAAACAGAATATTGTTTGAATTCCTTTTCCAATGAGCTTGTATATTTTTCTCAATCTGGCCCAATTTCATTCATAATTCTTGGGTAGATTCCTTGTCCAAGATGTAATCATTCATATCATTCATACGCGTGATTTTGATTCTATTGTCCAAAGTATATACGTATATTTTCCCCTTTTTGGCCCAAAGTCATCGTCACCCCTATGTGTCTTTTGGATAGAGATGAGCTGTGACTTGTTAATGCAAAGGTTAGGCTTATTACTTAAAACATTTTTATTATGTCATCTTTCGTGTTTATAATGCATAATTTTAAAGAAATCTTTTCTTGCATGTAAATAAAAGTTCAAAATTTAAACATCACAGACTATGTTTATAATAATTATAGTTATATAACAAAATAAAAAAAAATTCTGGGGACGCACAATTTTTTAATAAATAGTAAAAAATCAAATTAGAGAGTATTCATAGTTCAGTTGTCTAATTATTAAAACTCTTTCTTTTGAATTAATTAATGGGTTTCTCTTTCTTTCTTTCTCTCTCAATAATGAAGAAAATATGAAAACATATATATTGAAAAAAAAATTAAAAGTTAAGTTTGTACAAATTCACATTTCAATATACTTGCACAGCAAATTAGATAAATTTTGTATAATTAACAAACTAGCAAATAAACGTAGTAATTACAAACTAGTAAATAAATTTTATTTAACTTAGCTGGGCGAGTAATGTGTCAGAATTACCTGGACAGGGAAATACTATCTCTGTTACAACGCACTTTGAAAAGTTACGCACTTTGAAAAAAAATTCAAAGTGCTTTAAATTTAGGACCAAGTTAAAGCACTTTGAAAAAAAATTTATTTGTTTTCAAAGTGCGTTAATATCGACCATATTAACGCACACTGAAAAAAGGTATGCGGCTTGGTCATTATTCTTGCAAATTTTAGGTATGATGAATAATTATTTGAACATGGTTGGATAACTTTTCGGTGATGACATCATACCAGGATCTAAGATATAGACGTTTTCTTAAGGAAAGGGAGCAATTATGAACGTTCCATATAAAAAATTCTCTCTATCTCTTTCTAATTATCTGTATATCATATTAATCTATCTATCTATAGTCAGTTGGCTTTTGTTGTTAGATCAGCGATATGGTCCCTGAGTCTCTCTTTTTTAATATAATAGAGTGCGTTATTTTCTTTTCAGGAAAGTTTATCTCAATTTTTTCATCTTATTTTACGTTAAGGTATGTCAGTCGCGATATAAGTTACATCTAGGATTTTTTGAAAAGTATATTTTAAATGATAACTCATATAGCATGACTGAAAATCGCAAAGAAAATTAGGGGTCAGTGTGCATCTTACTGAGCAACGGTATAATCAACTTGACCTTTTTGCACTTCAATTGTAACTTTTAGGTTGATAACTTTAATCTTAATCAAATTTTACCATATGTAATCATGGTAATAAACATAATTTTCTTTCATACAAATAGCTTGAATAACATTTTTATTGAAAATTAATGCACGTACAGTATTGTGGGACCTTTTTGCAATAAAAAATATAATATTTTGGGTATTAAAATTCTAAAAAGGCAATAAAATATTTTCTTGTATCAAGATTTTTATGGCTTTAATGCTGATCAGTTGAATGTATCGTGCAATTAAAAAAAATGAAAGCAAAAGTTGGGGCCAGTGATGTAAATTCTGAGATATTGGTCAAAATATGCGATTTTAGGGTGAAAAACTGTGTAAATTTTAACTTGACTTCTTAAACATATCTTCATTTTTTGGCAAAGACTGTTGACTTAATATGTAATATTTCTTTTATAAAATATTAATTGAAAACTATATTTAATATTCCTAGCATATAATAACGAACAAAAAATGTCCGAGCATAAATATGTAGGGCTAAAGTTCCAAGATATTAAATCAAACAAATGTATAGATTTGAAGAATTTTCTTCTTAATATTCTTCCAACACAGGAAATAGTCCTCAATAATTATATAAATCTTGTTTCTTTACATTTTCATGAACAGTTTTTAAATTGAATATTGTAGAATTTGCATTGTTTAATTCAAATATATTATAAAAATTAAATTTTAATAAATAACTGAAGTTAGAGGTTCTGACCAATTTTTTTCTCAAAAGATGACGAGTGACATACCTTAACTCATATTTATTGAGAGAGAGTATGTCAGTGTCATACCAGTTATTTGGGTAGGAAAGATAAAGAGATGGGTTGAGGGACCTTCTACATGTCTTCTCGTTCTCGATGAGGGTAAATCAATTCATCAGAACTTCGAAAGAAATATAACAAAATAACGCTGCCAACTACTAAAATCTAAGTCCAGACTTTTTGTTTTATACACATTTTTTCAAAGTACGTTAAGTGTCTTCATGGTAAAAAATGTTGGTACACTCTTAACGCACTTTGAAAAAAATTTTCAAAGTGCGTTGAATTTGACGCGGTATAGAATCTCCCCTATTTCATATAAGCTACGGAGAGCATGGATGGCCCTAGGAGATGACCTCTTTACGTTACTGTATCCCGCTAAAATAATCCCGTGCTGGTCAGCGCTATCATCCTCATTCATTCGTGATCTTCGACTGAATAATAACTAGTATAGCTTTATGTTTCAACGCATATACATGTAATGAACTATCAAATAAATCCCAACTTTTTCGAAATGTAAATTTAAATACTTCTGGAATTGTGACCAATAATTCCAATATTAAATCAATTCAATTTAATTTATTTACTGCTTAGAAGAAACAGTATAATTATTTATGCATAGATAGGAATGAAGCACTCAGTGTTTTTCAAAGATGGAGGGGAGGGGGGGGGGGTAGAACACCAGATTATAACTAAAACTTAGTACTGTATAATAAACGTATAAATAAAAAGAAGAAGTTCCTGATTAACTCTGAGATGCACAATAATGGAAAAATGGGGGGGGGGGGGTTTAGAAATTTTTTTTTATAAAAGGTTTTAGGGGAAAAATAATAGGAAGAACCACCTTGCCTCGCCTAATACTACGTGTCTGATAAGAAATGAGCTGTTGCAAGTTTGGAGTCTCCTAAGATCATGTTAGGACGGGTCTTTCAATGTCTTAACTTTAGGAGAAATCCTAAGATATGTTTTAAGTCAAGACAGATTCGATGGCCTCAGGAATAAGATATAACATAAACACAGGTTTTCAGATTTACAAATATCGAAATGGATGAAGCTTAATTAAGAACATTTATAAAAACCTACTGTAGATATTTCTGTTGTTCATTTTTTCGAATGAAACCATAATAGTTTCTTGTTTCTTAGAATCTACAGTCAATATCAACTTTATTAAAATCTATCTAACTCACCGAACATTTAACACCGACATTTTTTGTCCCTATTTTGATACTCTACACCTTCAAATTTGTATGCAATAAAACACATTAATTAATCGTTTATTTGAGCCAAGATTGTCTTAGTACACTTAATCAAAAGTCTCCAGGGCATGATAGCATGTGAAACGTATTTTAAACCCACATGTCAAATACATCGTACTAAGCTGTGCCAAATATCAATAGACTACGTTAAAGGATCCATGGTCTGGAATAGCTTTTGTACCCCACATGTTAAAAATTTAAAATCTTGTTTAAAAAATAAAACAATAGATTCTGTTGTGCTGGGCACAACACTCATCTAGGTCGTAATTTCTTTTAATAAAAATGATTACAAAATCAATATATATATATATAAATATATATATATATATATATATATATATATATATATATATATATATATATATATATATATATATATATATATATATATATATATATATATATATATATAAAGTTTTCTTTTTAATTTGAAATCAGATTAACAAAATAATAGCTTATCATTCTTTTGAATGCTCAATTTTTTTCTGTTTGAGCTTGGAAGAGTGATTTAATAAAACTTGAGGATGAGCATTGCATATAAATCTTATAATGATGGACATTCCATTATAGATAAGGAAAAAAAAATTAATTTATATAATCCCATGTTTATAACCACTATTTTGTGAAGTCCCATCTTATAAACTTTATGGGACCACCATAGATTTTCAAAACAAATAAACGAGAAGAACACTATTGTATTATAAAGCTTTAGGTAAGGCAGTGTTATGGTACTTATAATTTTTTGAGAACATAAACGTAATTTGCTCTTTATAAATAAAGAAATGCCATTCAATGAAAAAAATGTCTTACTCGAATGTTTTAGGACTATCATAACTGTAGTCGGTTTCATAAGACAAATCCCGCAATTTCTTTCCATCCCTGTAATATTCTAACTTCATTTCCCTACCTGAAATACATATTAAAGATGTACCAATAAAATATGATTGTAGGAAAAGATTTGTGTCAATGAGATCTGTTTAAAACGCTGATCTGGAAAATTTTCGTTTGCAATTCATATTTAAAGTTCCACTCCTGAAATGGAAATATTTATTTAGTTTCTACATATTTATTTTATTTTAGCTCAGAAAAGAGTTAAATACACTGAAACGAAGAACAGTCACCTAAAATTGAAAGTCTCAAAAAAATGAAAGTTTTGAGAGTACTTAATGTGCAAATTGACATTTATTAGTTATTTCACTTTTCGGATTTCCAACGTTTCGGCATGAGCATCACTGAAGAGACATAATTTGTCGAAATGCGCATCTGGTGCATCAAAATTGGTACCGTCTAAGATTTACATTAAGGACACGACATATTCAGGTCATCACCAACAAAACACAAGTTTTAATTCAATCCAATGAAGGATTTCAAGTTTTGACAAATATTTCAGTATCTTATCTCATTGCGAGATGAAGTGACATTCACTTTTGAGATATAATCTAGGTTCAAGGTCATGGCACATTTTTTGTCATAGATAACAAATTCTAAAGTTTGAAACTGCTCCAGTAAATGGTTCGAGATATACAGTCCGATGATATGATATGATAGACGAAGAGACAGATGAACTGACAGACAGGCATGACATAATCAAACTGTCTTCTTTTATTGGAGATTGATAGGTAATTAACAAGAGTGATTAATGTACTTAGCAACTTTGTTTTATTAGCATTTTAAAAAGTCACGTATTTCGTCCCACGGGATGTTAATATTAGTTTTAGCCTGGTTATCTTCTATCATAAAATCGTATTCGAACCAACTTCAAAACCTCTCACTGGAATGGATTCCAACTTTACATGTCTAACGTTCTTGTCTATGACATTAAAAGCATGTCATTATCTTATTTCAAAGATCATGGTCAACAGGAAATGAGATAATGAAATGTTGTATGGACTATAACTATTTAAACTCATTGATATGACATTATCTCGACTAAAGGTCAATATGAGTTATCATAGGTCACTTCGAAATGAAATCTTGAAATAGTCTATCAGCTTTAACTTTGAAACTGTAGTTCGAAATAAATACCAACAAGTGCAATGCTGTTGAAGACTCACAAGTCCTTATTATCTTGACTGAATGTAATATCTTCAATGTGAAGGTCACTGGGCTTGAGATATAGAAATTTGGCCTGAGTCGCAACGTTAAGGAATCATTAAAAATATTAAGGGGATCAATTCAAATTTAAATTTGTTGTTGGTTATCTAAAAGCGTGCCTCGACCTTGAGCCATGATTAAGTCTCAAAAATCAAGACTACTGACAGGGATACAAATTTTGTCAAATCAGTATAACTTAGAACATTATATTAAAATAATATTCAGTGTCTAGTATATTATTAAACATTGCTTTTGCTATCCTGTAGGGCATTTTAAGGTTATATACACGTATAGTGATAGCCAGGGGTCTTAACCCCCCCCCCCCCCCAATTTTTTTCATTTTTCCAAGGAAAATATTGACTGTGTGATAAATCATAATATTATACTTTCATGTAAATTAGTTGAATCTCATTCGTCGAGAAACATTTGTTAAAAATTATTATTACCCTCTGAATGATGAAGCCACGCCCTCCAGCGTAGCAACAGTAAACATTGCTTGACGACGGGTGATATTCCAAAAAATAGTGACTGCGCAAAATTTATGCGCACAAAGTTCACTGTTATATGTATTTGTATAAAACATTCAGTATAATATAATAAATATTGCATGTAGATGAGTGTAGCATTGAAAATTTTCACCCCTCGAAAGCCATTGTCAACCTCGGCTGCGCCTCGGTTGACAATGGTTTTCTTGGGGTGAAAATTTTTAATGTTACACTCAACTACATGCAATATTTATATAATGTTTAATATTTTTTTTATTTATATATATTGTTTGATGAAAACTGAGATAAAAAGTGAAATTTTATCTAAACAGCCATCTGCGATCGTAGACTTTGATTTAAAGTTATATTAAATAGAAATATAACTAAGAAGCATATATACAATTTAAGAAATAAATCGAGAAAAAAATACCAAGGTAGTGCATATGATTCAGTGCACGAGTAAAGTAGACTGGTCCATTTACAATAAATCGTGAAGTGTCGGTACGGGAACAATTCGCTGTCACCACAACTCGAGGAGAGCGTGGAGGGATCCGAATGTAGTTCTGTCCAACCAGCAAAATTCCTGTGTTATGGATTCTTCTTGTCTTAGTTAAAAATATATACATGCCAGATCCGTCCATATGGTCTGTCCTTTTATCCGGGTTATTCCAATGAATCTAAGGGAAAACAGATATGTTTACTTGTGAATAAAGTTGAAAGTGCAGTGATTCTCCAACATGCAATAATATATATACATCTCTCTCTCTCTCTCTCTCTCTCTCTCTCTCTCTCTATAAATATAAAGAAAAGATTTATAACAGTGAAATACTCTAATTTATTTATTGAACATAAGTGATATTCCGTCACATTGTGACAGAATATCAGAAGTGCAACAAAACACTCGATTTTCTTTCCCTTATATTGTAAAAAGTACTCCCTGGCTTATAAGAGAGAGAGAGAGAGAGAGAGAGAGAGAGAGAGAGAGAGAGAGAGAGTAAATAAACCATCCTGACAGTGTCTAAAACTGCCAAAGTTTCTCCAAATATGTTTGTTTACAATGTTTTCAATATCACAATGCTAAGCTATAACATCTCAACCGCTCAACTATGACGTCACAGCATATGACACTGTGTTACGAAAAGAGGCAAAGTAAAATTCAAAGAAAATGTAATAAACAGAAAATTCAATATTTTGTAGTTGGATTTGGAATTTATTTCACTTCGTGAGATAAGATCTGCACTCGTGAAAATAAAAAAAAATATCCTGCCCCACTAAATTCCAAATTCAACTACAAAACATTGAATATCCTCTATATACGCAATAGACATTATCATTCTTGTATTTAAAAAAAGACAACTTTTTGGTAAGAAAAAAGGCAGCAATAAATAACAAAATGCGCATGGACCTTAATGCTCACCCGCATGTCACTATGCTTTTTTCTAAGCTTCATGTGTTCATTTTCTCTCATCATTTTTATTTTTAAGGCATGTCACTCGTCAGCTTTTAAGAAAAGTTCGGTCAGAACCACTAACTTCAAAACTATTCATTACAATTCAATTTTTAGAACATATTTGAATTAAACAATGCAAATTATACAATATTCAATTTAAAAACTGCTCACAAAGACATAAAGAAACAAGATTTATGGGGGACTATTTTTTGTGGAGGAAGGATATTTAGAAGAAAATTCTTCAAATCTACACATTTGTTACAATTAATATCTTGAATCTTTAGCCTCACATATTTTTACTCAGAGAATATTTCCCGTTATTATATGCTAGGAATATTAAATATAGGTTTCAATGTATACTTTAAGAACACATTTTACACATTCACTCAACAGATTTTGCCAAGAAATGAAAATATATTAAAGAAGTCAAGATAAAATTTACAGAGTTTTTTGCTCGAAAATCGCATATTTTGACCAATATCTCAAAATTTTCATCACTGACACCAGCTTTTTCTTTTATTATTTTAAACTACATGGTACTTCCAACCAATCAGCATTAAAGTAATAAATGTTTGATACAAGAAAATGTTTTATTGCCTATTTAGATTTTTAATACCCCAAATATGATACTTTTTAGTGCAGAAAGGTCACACAATGATTTATGCGCATTAATTTGCAGGATTTGTTCAATGATACATATTATTCAAATTATTTTACGTAAAATAAGATCATATTTATGATTACATCTGATAAAATATGATAAGATTAAAGTTATTAACCTAAGAGTTTCAATCTAAGTGCAAAAAGGTCAAATTAATTGTACAATTGCTCAGTAAGGTGCACACTGACTCCTAATTTTCTTTGCGATTTTGAATCATGCTATATAAGTACTTATCTAAAATATACTTCTCAAAAAATCCTTGATATAACTAATTTCACGAGTGACATACCTTAATTGAAAGATGTGATGCATCTCTCCTAATGTCTAGTTCAAAGGGGAATATTTAGACAAATCTGAATTTACAGGAGAATGTTTTAATAATAATTTAACAACCAGGAGCCTTATTTTTTTTTCTTCTTTTTTTAGAATTTTCTAATAAATAATAAGATACCTTTTGAAATTTGCAAGCTTCAAATTTTTGCTGGTTGCTAGTAACCCTGCCGCTTACTACAGTGGCAACAACAATTCAGAGGATTTAAATTTGAGTAAAAGCGTTCGTAACTGTACAGATTGTCGTTTTGACATACTGTCGTCGGCGACAATCTGCACCAAACCTCACTGCATATATTGTCTTCCATCGACACATATTGTCGCCGGCTGAAAAATTATACATGTACATATTGTCGCTGGCAACATTGTGTGCCTACCTTCTCTGCAAAAATTGTGGTCCCACAGTTAGGGTTGCTTAAAGGATTTTTTTTTGTAGTTCTGTGAATATAATTGGTGTGTAAATCACACATACGTATCTCTTATGCTGTTTCATGCAGTGGGGTTGTGACGATCCATATTGTAGTCCTGTACATATTTTGTCACCACGGTGCGCGCTTATCAACGTAACATCAAAAACATAACATCATGACAGATTCTCAAAAATACACCACCTCTTCATTTCACACTCAGTCTGTGGCGCCTTACCCATTTATTTAAAAAAAAGTTTCTATACCACTTTATGCTTATTTTTTAACATTATTCGAGTTTCAAGATAATTCGTCAATGTGTTCAATGTTTTTTACCGCGTAGCTCGATCTGCTTTCACTAGTTCCGCAGCTGTGAAACGCAAATCCCTTTCCATTACGTTACTTATGGTTTTGACCAGATTTTTACAGATATTTTATTTCCTTGGAGGCCGTTCATCGTCCAATACAGAGTCTCTTCAGCTCAAAAAATTCCTGTGACATTAATGTATACACACTTGCACTGATAACTTTTGATATATTTTCTGCTTCCTCCACCCTTTTCTGAGTTCGTTACAGAAATGTTCTGAGTGCAACGCTAATCGCTGCTCCGCGACGTCCTGCCACGTCATCTTTTTTTCCATTTTCAAAAAGCACTACTTGTCTTCTGCAATTGATTTCTGTTCAACGAAACACTATATTACACCACAATTCGACATATGAAATTATGATGTAACAATACTCAATTTGAATACTAGTATTTGTTATTTTTTAAATTTTGTTGTAAAGTCATTTTAAATAGATATGACTATAGACATTTCATAGTGTGTTGTTTTGGGATTACATTATTAAATTTTGACATGTTGCATGACCCCATTTTTGCGTTTTTAAAAATATTTCAATAATTTTGAATTATATCATTGTATATTTAATTTTTTAAATTCAAATTATTCAGAAATATTGTTGAAATATTTCTACCGAATTTGGTGATAATATGACGTTAAATAAAAAGTTATGACAAAAGTCTATGTATTTTTTTAATGACCTTCGAATTCTTCAAAACTATACATTGGCGACACAATGTGCAAATGTTCACAATATATACATGTATTGTCGCAGACGACAATATGTGCTGATGTTTGACATTACATTTTGTCGTCCTTTTAACAGGAGAAAAAAAAAGCTCGTCGCGGCGTCGCCAGTGACAATATAAACCGATGGAATACATGTGTGCAGTTAGGGTAGATACAATTACATATTGTCGCCGGCGACAATATGTACAGAGTTCAAGTTCAATTTATTCTCTCAAACCAATTAATGGTACATGAGGTTCTATGTACAATATATACAAAGACAATATACAAGATAAGCGTGAAATAGCAGAAATATATACAAGTAAAGTAAACAAAAGTAATTATGGAGGACAGACTTGTTCATATGCTTTAGAGATTTAATTACACAATATAATTAATACACTGGAGTAAGCAGTTGACAATAATTGAGAATTTGTTAAAATCTGGTCAATTATAATATTTTTTTGTAGATCTATGCCTTTTCCGGCATTCTGAGAAAAATTGACCATTCTAGAATATAGTGATACTCATCTGCTATTTGTCCCTCATTATAGATATTACAAAGTCTATCATTTTTGTGAATTCCAATCCATCTCCCAGTCTCAACTGGGAGTCGATGATTTTCAGTACTAAATTTAATCAAACTTGTTTAAAGAACGACAATATATACCGTCACAGCGTTGTATACTTAATTTTTTTTCCATTCATTTCTGAGACATACATTCTTCTTGTTTAAAGATAATCAAGAGCATTGAAAAAAAATCGTGTAATTGTAGGAATAATATCATTAAAATACCTTTGAAACAGGGATCAAATAATAAGATTTTTAATTGACGCTAAAAACTTGTTTTTGCTCGACTGGTTTGAATTCCAGTAAAAAATGATCAAGTTATCAAGAATATAATATGCATATTGTTGCTCCAGTACCTCTAATATGGCTTTCTTGTATCCATTTACTCCAACCCTAAAACCACTGTCTTTATGAAGGCAATCACCATTAAAACCCACAGCCCAAAGCGCTATCATATCATCGCAGTTTTGCTTTTTCATGCCACAGCTCTGGGGAGTCGTTGTTGCGAATACTGCAAGAAAGTTTATATATAAAGAGAGAGAGAGAGAGACTAATACATCTACATACCCTTTTCCATGTCATATCCTGTACCAGCCTAAGACATAAAATATATCAGCCAGAGGGCCAAGGCTTTCTTGCTGATATTGGTCGAGGGATGATACAGAATGTGATATGGAAAAGGGTATGTTTTAGTATGTCTATTACATTACTTTGTAATAAAAAACTACACATCTCTACTTGAGCAAGTACAAAAATAAATAATCAATGGATTTCATAAGGAAAATTACATTGATGTACATGTAAATATTTCACCTTACTTCCAATAGATCACATACACTTTACATGTTATTTGCTTCTTGACCCCCATTATCTTGCTACAAACCGCCCTGTCTTCGAATTCTCTACTCATATTTACATTCAGTGTAATTTTCGATATGAAATCCACTGGAAATCCACAACATTCAATACCCTATAACACACACAAAACTTTGTCACTGCGCGGTAGAATACACAGTAGGAACTATAATTATGCATTTTCAATACTCTAGGAACACCAACATGTATATTATTTTGACTTAATTTAATTAAAAACAAAAAAACCTATGAAAATATTAGGAAAATATAACAATTGTACGTTTAAATTTATTTTTAAATTTTTTTTTCTCGCAATATTCATTTGCGTTATTTAAGTTTCCACGTCTCAAACGTCTCTTACGTCTATTAAGCACATCAGTTCTGAATTGAAAGGCGCTAAATTCATAATAAATATTAACGAAAATAACAATTATGAAGAGACAAAATTAGAGATTGTAAAAAATAAGCATTAAATTCTTATTTATGGATGTCGTCGGTCCTATAACAGCACCTGCCGACAAATTTACTGCGCTAACGCGGTATTCGATAAGAATTAAATGCTTAATTCATCAGATCGACTGATTTTATTTTCATTTCATTTTTATTTTTATAAATTTCTTTGCCAATGAAGACAAACAGCCCTGCCCTACATTGTTTCAGTGAACATGGTTGTTTTGAACAACCTAAGCCCTAACAAGCGTCACGGAATGTCTGCAGAGCTAATGTTGTTCATAACACCTTGTTCCACAGGCACTTAAGACTCTAGACGAAATACAAGAACTTCTGGTTGGGGTTATAAATGTAGGATAAAACCAGAGACCTCCAAGTTTTACATTCTGAGGTCTCTGGTTTTATGATACACTACAACTCTAACCGGAAGTTCTTATATCCCGTCTAGAGTCTTAAAATGTATCGATGTAATTATCGAGGAATAAATGAGTGGTTTACAATAAAGAGGCTCAACCAGAGACGTCTGAAACGATTTATTTGACAAGAAAGAAGTCTCTCGAAGCAAACGATGTCATTTTGAAGTAGGTTAATGTTTGATATATTAACAAAATACGAGTTTGAAGGGGGGGGGGGTGCCTGAAATTCGGTTAGGTACCTTGTGGAAAGAAAAGAAAGGGGGTGACCCCATATACGAAACAGGTGCGTGTGCCCTGTTCACTGAAAAACGTTGTTCATTTCTTAAATATATATGCGAGTGTGAGGGTGTGTGTGTGTGGAGAGAGAGAGAGAGAGAGAGAGAGAGAGAGAGAGAGAGAGAGAGAGAGAGAGAGAGAGAGAGCAAGATAGATTTATAATATTTTATCATATTTGTCTTTAGATCAATAAATTTGTACGTTGCACAATTTTGCACAAAATTTTTATCATCTTGTGGCAATAAGTGGTTGACGGGGCATGGCTTCGCTTATGTGAATGTGAATAGGGTTTGACCTATATAAATGTAAACCAATTATGCAAACTTAAAAAATCCTAAGTACTAGGGTTCTTTTTTCATCTTCTCCACAAACTTGCAATTGTACAACAATGCCCCACCTCATACACATTAACAATGCAATATCCCCTCAGCACCTTGTTGCTCGAGGTAATATTTCTATTCTAAGGAAAAATCACTAACCTGTGTCTTTACAGCCGTATAGAATCATATGATGTAACACATCGGCATTGTCAATCAAAGGCTGTGAACCAATAAGATGGTAATCTCCATCTGTGAGGAGGTCAAAGGTCATGCAGTAATAATTTGTTTCCCAAGGGGGCACTGTGGTTCTTGGAAATTTCAATGTTTGGTTAATAGTATCTGAAAATAGAGAAATATGTTACAAGTGAAATAAAACACAATTTCCAAATATTCTAAACTTTATTGATGTTGTGAACTTTATTTTCAGAAGATACCGGTACATAAATATCTTCATACATCAGATCACAAACCTTCTTCCATATCGCAGGTGAATTTTGGAGGGTCGTCACATTGCAGAAAAGCGTTCTTTCCTGTGCATTTTGGGTCACCAAGGGGTTCACATACACCTAAAAATATTGAAATGTACACAATTTAATTGACTTATAATTCATTGATTATGAAGTCTTTACAAGATTTCCGTTCCCGCTGCTTCTTTTTTTACCTTTCGGTGAATATTGCATTAATCTCGCATCTTTACTGTCCGATTATCTAATTTGTTTCGTCTAGGAGAGCAACCTTCAGTTTTACTTTTTTGTTAAATATAAAAAAAATTCTTTAATTGGTTTATCGTCTATGTACAGGTATGGGATATTTCCAGTATTAATTTGAATGTATATATAGCATATAGTTTTAATCATGGGTTCTTTTTAGACGGTGGCTATTTATAGCCACAGTGTTATGTTGCCGTTCTGGCTTATGAATAAACAACAGTGTATCCTCGCGAGGACCCTAGCGGCGGTTTTCTGCAGAGACAAAATAATGAAAATGGGTTTGATTTGATGTTTGAAAATAAAATGTACATGGTAACAAATACTCTCAAGTTATTTCAATGACACTTTGTTGATGGGCGCGGAGATTAATTCCAAATACTTGCCGTAAACATGTCTCATCTTATGAATATTCATTAAATTACATCATGAAGTTTCCAGCGCTTTGGATACCATACTGCTGGATGACGCTTGTGCAAAAATTATAGTTTTCAACGATGAAAAGTATATAATTGTTCTGTTTGATTTGTTTTTGTCTTTGATATTACAATTTTTATATAATGACATCACTGATTAATGATATATTGTTTCATTAAAGCAATACAAACTATAATTGATTGTAATTTTTTGTTTGACACAGAGTATTATTTAATACCTACACGTAAAACTAAGACGTCAAAAAAGTTCTGGTAAGAAATTTTGAATGCTAAATAAAATAAGACTGCTTAACTGCATGCATAATGAGCGTTTTTAGACGGGGTCACTTGACCCTATTAGTTTGCTGTCAGTTGAGGCATCAAAACGGAAGTCGTGCGGAGAATACTTGAATTAAATCTAGGCTGAAAAAAAAAGAGTGCAGAAATTGTTTTGTTCAAAATACAAACACGCTGAATCAAACTAAAGACAGTGATATGAAGATTTCTTACTCAAATCAAGGAAACATTTTGAAATTTTTTAAACGCGAAAAAAATATTGAACCATACTAGTATACAAACTACTAGACTTCATAGTAATAAAGACTGTGTACGCGTCATCGATTGTTTACTTCCGGAAATGTCACAATTATTAATTCGGACCCGGTGAAATTCGGACAATTCAAAAAGGTTTCTTGACTAGTGATTACGGATTAATCAATTGCAGCGAATTTCTTGACTAGTGATTACGGATTAATCAATTGCAGCTAAAATGAAAAATGTGAAGACATATTTTTCACAGTCTTTATTTTAATTTAATGTTAATATAAAATGCATTAAATAAAATTAAGTTGGTGTCAAAGTCTTATAAAAGAAAATTCATCAAGCAGTAACGAAATTTGTCAAATAAAAAAGTTAATTATCTTGACCCCGTCTTTCAGTACTGTATCAGTACTTTGATTCTTCAAGCCATTGCCTAATCATGGTGATGTAAACATATTTAATAATGAGGACATCTCTTATTTTAAAAGGGCCAAAATTTAGGGAACCCCGTTCCTTCAACTGGCGTCATAATTTTATAAATATTATGAATTCTGTGGAAGATTACGCCAGGCGATGGGCCAAACACGAGAAAGAAGATCGTGACATTTTGTCAGAATGGATTAAGAGCTTCAGATGGATGTTGAAATCTCGCATTAAGCGATTGAGGGGCTGTATGAAAAGTATTTAACCTTTTGTCTTTAATGTCTAGAATACAAATATGTACTGGTCCCAGCTGACAAAGCTGGTAACAACATAGTCTTTGTTTGTAAGGCTCATTATTTGAATTGTATTTTAAAGGAACTAGGATTTACTTCTGCTGGTGGAAATCCAACTTACACCCATAGCTCCCTTTCTAAGGAGTAAATTCTTCAAAGTCATATGTCCGTTTTAGATATTTTTAATATTCCCAACAATCAAATGAATTTGAATAACCATACCTTTACAGGATGTCTAAACTTCATAAAAATCCTTACAAACAAAGATACATAGCGGGTTCCAGTAAATGTTCTACCAAGCCTCTTTCTTTCCTCACTAAAATGTTTACTGTAATGAAGGAGAAAGTTCAGGAGTACTGTACAACAGTATATTCGAGAAGTGGTGTAAATCAGATGTGGATACTTAAAAACTCCAAAGAACTTTTAGAAAAGTTGAAATCACAAAATATTACTAAAATCAATAACATCAAAACGTACAACTTTTCGACACTTAATACAACTATTCCCCACGATAAATTGAAGTCCAGGCTTTTTGACATCATAGACAGCTGCTTTTTCAATAAATATGGAACTCGTAAATATACTTACCTTGTCATTGGTCATTTGCAAATTTATTTTGTTAAGAAGCATTCTGACTGTACACACAAGTACTCTGAAGTTGGTATTAAAAAGATGCTTGAGTTTCTGATTGACAATATCTATGTGGATTTTGGAGATCAGGTCTTCCAACAATATGTTGGAATTCGCATGGGTACCAATTGTGCCCCCTTATTAGCAGACCTATTTTTGTATTCATATGAAGCAGAATTTATTCAAAAACTTCTACATGAGAAGAAGAAAACACTTGCTGTGGCCTTCAACTCGACATTTCTTTATATCGACGACGTATTATCAATTAACAATAGTTACTTTCATTCATATGTCGACTCGATATATCCCAGTGAGCCTAAAATAAAAGATACCACAGATTCTGACGCATCTGTTTCATATTAAGATATTTTACTAGAAAAAGACGTTAATGGTAATCTAACAACCAAGCTTTATGATAAACGTGATGACTTCAACTTTTCAATATCGTCAACTTCCCTTATTTATGTAGCAATATACCCTTATCACCTGCATCTTGGGTTTATGTTCTCCAGTTGATTCGATCCGCAAGAGCATGCTCTACGTATGTAAAAATCTAAAACTAGGTAAATTATTGACAAACAAGTTGATGAAACAAGGATATCAACAGTCTCGTTTGAAGTCATCATTTACAGTCATCGTTTTACGGTCGATACAATGACCTTGTCAGCACGTACAACCTATCATTAAGTCAAATGCTGACTGATGTTTTTCATACTAATTGTTAGGCCATTACTTATACACTGAACTGTCTACAGATTTTTCCGGGTTTTTTCCCCGATCCTGACAATGAGCACACGGCGGGTGTGACCGGTCGGCAGGGGTTGCTCACTCCTCCATGGCACCTGATCCCATATCTAAATTTTGAGGTCCGTGTTTGCTCTGCTCCAAATTTGTATCGTTTCATTGGACTTTCGAGATTGAATACTGTTCGTTATCTTCATATTTTATGCTTATTATCTCTCGCGCACAAAAACTGTTTACAAAACTCCCTATTGTGCAATGAGTAGCTACATTCAAAATTTGTGATCTCTGGGTCAGTGCATATTAAAGGTAAGATTACGAATGGGGGAATTCTGGCTGGAAGACAGTAATTCAGAAAGCAGTATTTTGTTCCTCTATAATTTGACAGTTTAAGATGTGTCCTAATCCGATAATAAATATAAACCCAAACCCGTTCTTATGTCGGTAATTTGTTAATATTTTTACCGTCAGTTATAGATAGATTGTTTAAAACCGTGTTGTTTAGGAAGATGTATGAATTGTTTATGGTCACATTATTTTCATCAGACAACAGAAGAAATTGTTACTCTTTAATCAAATAAGAACAAGAAAACCTTTCCATTGATTAGTTTTGGATGTGCAAACATTCATGACTTCATTCTTTTCAAAGGAGATGGGCGTGCAGAATACCTATAGGTTCAGATATATAAAATCGTATTCAATATGTGAATTTAGTTTTTCGAGTAAGGTTCTCATTATTGAAATTTATGAAATTATGACAAACAAAACTTTTCTGAGGAAAATTTTCTCGGCAAAAACTATTCTATTATTAAAAAAAATGGTATTCTTGAGGTTCGTACCCAAACAAAAAGAAAAAAAAATCCTGAGCATCAATTTCCTTTGAGACTAAGACGCTAACCAGTAAGCTATTCCCAATTAATAATTGCATTGATATGACCCTTGACTACATGGACTTCAAGTATTTCTCGGATAAATACGAATGTCGTGTCAGGAAAGCATAATTTTAAGGTATAGTTTGTCTTTGCTCCATGATTTTATAAACCAAAAATGTATACTGCATGTATTTTTACTCAAACTTTGAGGATAAACTTTCAGAAAAATGGAACGAAGACCCACTCTAATGGAAAAATTGTGTCATAATACGAGAAAATGATCCTTTTTTGTCCTCTTAGGTGTGTGTATGCTATTTCATAGACAGGTAATTTCAATCTTGTGGAGATTTTACACAAAGCATAATTACTTAAGGTTTTCCAAAGGTCAACATGTCCAAAAATTTATTTTTACAATAGCTTCAAAACTATGTGGTTTATAAAGTTAAACTTTCACAGTTTATAAATATATCATTGATTAACAGATAGAAAGTATCAATTGAAAACAAATACTTTAAAAAAATATTTATCGAGAAAAATTCTTCTAAAAAATGCATATAGTTTTAAAAAATACACTTAATTAATTCCGTACTTTTAGTGAAAGCCATCATTACAAAAACAATATATGTTTATCAATGAAGGGCAAGTTAGACATCAATAGCCCCTGAAAAGTTGTTTTCCCTGTTTATTTTGTCCAAATGTTAAGATTTGAAACCGAAAGTACATTACAAATGGCGGATTTTATAGGGGTTTTGTCTTTATACATGTCATGCTTTCAATAACAGCCTTTCAGAGACCATTCACGTGCAACTTGCCCTTCATTGATAAAAAAAATATTATTTCTGCAATGATGGTTTTCACTAAAAGTACAGAATTAAGCAGGTGCATTTTTTTTAAATATGCAAATTTTTTGACATTTTTTTCTCAAAAAATATATATATTTTTAATATTTGTTTTCAAGTGATACTTTCTATCTGTTAATCAATGATATAGTTATAAACTGTAAAAATTTAAACTTTATACCTCACATAGTTTTGGAGCTATTGTAAAAATAAATTTTTGGACATGTTGACCTTTGGCAAAACCTAAAGTGTTAGATAAAATATTTTTTAAAAAAAAATGATATAATTGAGATTTAATGTTTCATCTTCATATTTGTCGCACCATTGACATTTCACTTGCCTTGTTCGCCAATCTTCTTAACAGAAATGTAACTACAACCCATCCATGTTTGTTAATATTGCTTCTTTGTTTTAAATTCTACTATTATATTTAGTTTTGTGCATGTATATAAATGCCTGTACTATACATGTACATTAAAAGGTACATTCACTTTTCGTTTTTATTGTTGTGAAGGAGATTCCAACATGACAAACAAAACTGACATATTTTATAACAATCAAGATTTTTTTCTCTTCGAGTTCAATATTTGAGAGGAGAGGGTGTGCATAGGCTTTGCCTGTTGCACAATTCTTATTGAATTACTCAATAAAATATGTTTAAATCGAAATATTTAAAAGTGCCGTGAGAGAAGAACTTTAATCACAGTATCCACAGATCTAAACCAGAATATTCACTTTTTACCTGTAAGTGATTTTTGTTTTGTTAACTACCCATTCATTATTTACTTCGTATGTCAACATTTGTTGCATATTTTTTGTCTTGCTTTTTTTTTCCAAGATATGCCAATTTACTATTTCAAGGACTAGTTCTTGCCATTTCTCTCTTCATTTTATTTAATACTTTCTTTTCCTTTTTTACCTGTTTTAGGCTCATCTCTGATTGAAAATTTCTTCTTTTGATTTTCTTTTCGAACTATATATTACATACAAGAAAAGTAAGACTATCAATACTTCAAGTCTTTCAATCTTTTAAAGGGAGTAAATAATTACTGGAAATTTAGCAGTGATAGAGAATCCAATGCTTTAGTTTGTTTCATTTTTTCTACAGCATATGATGTATATCCCACAATGTACAGTACATATGGCCATTAGTGATTTTTGTAAAAATTTATTGTGCAGTCAATTTATCCTAATTTCAATATCTTTCAAATTTCAAAGATTTGAAATCAAAAAGTCAAAATTTCTAACTTCAGAATACTATGATTTCTTTACAAATGAGCGCCGTAAAATTTGACTTTCTCATTTGATATGTGATTTCACTGGAATGCCTGCAGATAAAATTATTTTGCAATGATGTGAAGATGATACAAAAAAATCTGCATTTTATGACATTCTTTTTTCATTTCATTTTCAATTGCGCCCCCTTATTAGCCCCCTTATTAGCAGGCCCTTTTTTGAATTCATATGAAATTCCCATGGGTGAAGAGAGTACTAAAAAATCTACATTTTATGACATTCTTTTCATTTCATTTTCAACTGCGCCCCCTTATTAGCCCCCTTATTAGCAGACCCTTTTTGTATTCCTATGGAATTCCCATGGGTGAAGAAAGTACCAAAAAAATCTGCATTTTATGACATTCTTTTCATTTCATGGGAGAGCGTCTAAGTGGAACCACAGATGCATGTATAGAGAGCTATACTGAAAATATTTTAGGTCACTACATGGAAGTATAAGGACCCTTTGCTTCACTAAGTTTTAAATTAAGGGTTAACTGGTTTTGACACGCTATAAGGATTTATTGAACATAAAATGTATTGAAAAAATTGAAACATGAAGATATTTGAACATATAAGTTCAATCTGCCCATGCACTGAAATCTTCTATAATATATTCTCGTTTTAAAATTACATTTATGATGGCACATCATAATAGTACATACAATCATTTAAAAAAATCTTGATGCGGTCGAACCTCTGTTTCTGACATTTCAACCCCTTTTTATTCTTTAAACCTTATTTTAGAACAAACCTTATCAAGAACATTCTTTATATAGCAAATCATATGGAGAAACGTTGTACATTTTGCCAATTTGCACAGCGGCCATATTGTATTGAATATGACGGATTTCTGTTCAATGCATTATATAAGGAAACAAGAGGCCCAAGGGCCTTAACGGTCACCTGGTTATAATACAACACTGTAAAGGATCCATAGAGGTATAAAAACAAAATTAACTAATAGATGAAGCTATGTAGCCCAAGAATTTCAAAATCTATTAAAAATATCCTTGCTTATTGTAACGCGCGAGACCCGAGTGATCAACTGCTTGGTGTCGTACTTGGTTTTCCCAAGTCTTACAGGGATGGTAATGAATACAAAATACACAAATACAATGGGCACTTTCCTAGGTATTCAATATAAACAGATGTTTTGTCACTTTCCTAGTGCTACAATTAGGTACACAAAGCGAGACTTGGATATACAACGTGGCTATTTACCACTTTTCACTAACTACAACATATCCCCTAGTCACCCTGGCTCTCTGTGATCACTTGTTCACTTTGATAAAGTATAAAACAACTTTATGCAGTCTCTTGAAAACTAAAATTTGATCTACGTTGCTTTAACTGACAATAAATCATCTATTGTCAACATGACAGCACAGTATACACATTCTGTATTCAATTAATTCACGCCACCGTCTATTAGTACTCTCAGTTCTTTGATTCCCTTATTACATTGGTCGCCTGCGTAGCGCAGTGTTTAGAACGTTTGCCCTAGAGCCCGGAGTAAAGAGTTGATCCTTATTTCAGTGGTTTGAATCCACTGCGTGACGTGGAGACCGGTTGAGACCTAATAAACTGAGGTCCCGTGTCGCAGTAGGTGCTGCACGAAAAAAATGCTCGAAAAAGTATGTGCCGAGTACAGGTCTAAATTTACAACCTTCCAACGCAGGTGATGGCCTTTCAATATGAGTGAAACATTCTCGAAGCGACGTTAAACAAACAACTTATTGCACTGATGTGATAATTCCATTTTTATCAAAGAAATTAACATAGTACAAATCAATGAGAGGTATTCCCGACTTACCAGGGTGGGACAGTCCAACGATATATTTTGCTACTTTATTCGGTGTCCACTCGCAATCCGGATCTCCTAATTCTTGCCCATTGGTCTTACCATCGCCATCCGAATCCATTTGGCAAAGAGCAGGAGTCCATGTCTTGAAATGGACAAAAGAGAAAATAATTGAAAAGAGAAAATAATTTTTCTTCTAACTAAAACTTCTAACCGGCGAAAACATTTTTTTTTTTCATTTAAAGCATGAAGTCGTCCATACAGACACTGCCAAAGGGATGGGCACATTGAGAAAAAAATCAATATTACTTCATTGCAATGCAGCATGAAACTATGTCAACTTTTCTAAGGGAATACATGAAATCAAAGAGAAACTTGGAGCAATTTTCCGATTCAGTTGAATACAGAGTATCTGTGTGTGTGTCAAACTTTGTTAGTTGTTAACCGTTACTACAAGTCCTTCGAATTTATAATGTTTGCAGCAAGGTTATCGTTGTTTCTCTGTAACTTCCATGCTTCAATATTTTCCCCCTATTTCGAATTATTGCCAGAAAAATAAGGACGTAGGAGCTATAGATCTGAATCATTTAAGTGTTTACTAAACGCATAGATATTTTAACATGATGAAAAAAATCAAAGGTAAAATACAGCTGAAATGATCAATATCTTGCCATTTCAAAATTCAACATAAGTAAGGGCGAAAATTACTTACAATTCTGAAAAATACTCCATAAGCGGAATGTTTAGTGAGGATTCAGTTTTGGCATTATTAGCGAGGGTTTTGAGATCTCTAAAATTGAATATCACTAACAATTTATACCGTATCAGTTGTTATAGCTATCTTTCTTGACATTATAAAATCGCTAAAATTACTTCTCGCTAAAAATATATACCAGTATTTTGGGATAATTCGCTTATTATACGTCTCGCTAAAAATTCCACTTATACGGTATTGTTAGAAAAAGGATTATCACATGGAACTTTTACCTTGCCTTCTCTGTAGAAGTCCAGACCAAATGGATTTCTTTGGCCTCCTCCACCTTGTGCCTCGTGTCCAACACCTCCCCATATGGTTGTCGGATCACAAGGATGTGGTACTTTTCGACCGTTTGGGATTTTATCTCGAAACGTACCATAACCATCAGCAAAATTGGCAACCAGCAAAACGAGAAAGGAACTGAGAAAATATCACAAGGCAAGAAGCTTAATACTGGGTGAATTTTAATTCAATATTTAAAAAATGTTTTATTTTGAAAATATGGAATATCATATTACAGTTTTGATCTCGTCCCTGATATACATGTAAACCCGAGGAGCTTGTTTCAACCCAAACCTGAATTGCTGACGCCAGGGCCGAGTTCGAAAATACAACGTCTTATTGTTAATATCATAAGCTTAAAACATAAAATAATACAAATAAAACATATCTTTAAAAATCTGATATCCTATACGATACACGTATATTGACTTTAATGTAATTACCGTAATTTTACCACAAAAATGAATTCTTACTTAGTCACAATTGCAAGAAATGACAAGATAATATATTGATGCACAGCACAAACTTTCCCCAAGTTGTTCATTTTACCCTGGATTTATGTCATGTGATGGTGCCCATGATTTCTGATTATAGTGCCGCACGGCCAATGATGAACATCACAATAAATTTGAAGTGTCGAAAGAATTTTCGGTGTGACACTTTCATCTGCAGCATATTGAAAACAAACTGATTTACTCATAATTTTTCTCTCTCATATTTTGATAGTTTTTATCCAGGAAGTCATAACGAGTTGTTTTTATTGTTTTTCACTCCCATTCTGGGAAGCACTTGTAAAATATTTTTTGGTAAAACCAAATACTATTGAAAAATAAAAGAAAAACTGAAATGTATTAAAAACAAAAATGAAAAAAAATAATATAATTTTTAATTTGTTTATTCATTTTCAAGATGTTGTTTGAATAAGAAATTATTCTATAGAATCAGTAAAAAAAAAGAAATCTTATTTCCCCATGTGCAGCTTGCACACGTTGTTACTGACACACCGACGCTAAATTCTTTCTAAGTCAGACGCCATCATGTTTGTTCGCCTACCCCAAGCAACTTTTTACCTCCCTTATGAGGATCGAAAACAAAGATGGATGTCTATAATTTTATCGGCTGCAGGAGCGTCCGATCTACTGTGGTTGTGTTTAAGTTTTTGACACAGTCTTAATCCCAGACTTCAGTAAGACTTGTATCTAAGACTTAATTCATCATCAATCAATGAAAGCAATAGTTTACCCTGTAGTACCCAAGTGGGTTTGATCGCTGGTGGCCAGATAACTCAGTCTAGAGTTGGTTATGCAATTTTAGGGAGAAGTATTTGAGAATATAAGTATGTTTTATAATAAACGGATTTTTTTCAATCTTATCATTTGTGAAATATACATGTACAATATACATGTATTTACTTCCATAAGGTTCATATGTAAATATATATATATATATGTTTTCTAGATCTGATCTAACATGCAAGTTTGCATAATATATGCTTACTTTCAAAGTACAGCTTCCTTTTTTTCTAGACAATAAAAAAACTCATACATTTAATGTATTTTGTAGTGTTGTCAACAAGTACCTGGTTAACCGGTTAACGATGCGAATAATAAATAATAATGAATAAGTAAAAGTAAGCGAGTAACCGGTTACTAAAAATCGTCCTATTTAATTGACAACACTTGTATTTTGTATTAAATCAAACAAATGTTTTAATAATATGAAATACTTAGTATTTTATTCTTATATACAGTCCCTTTTTTGCATTTAAGGAAATGATTATGGTAAAAAGCAGTTTCTTTTTTTCTTCAGAAAAATATCTACAATCAAAGTACTGTAACTCCTGGGAACCGCTAAATGATTTTTTATTTTAAAATGAGTGGAATTTGCAATTTTAAATTCGGTCGAATTTGTAAAGCTTGGAATTAAAATTTATTGTGGTTTGGAATAAGTACTATAATTAATACTAACTTTTTTTTCATAATGTCTTTGCAAGTGAATATAACTGACATTCAAATGCAAATTCTAAGAACTGCGAACAATAGATTTGTTCTACCTCCAAGTCAAATTTCAAAAGGTAACATATTTGAATAATTTTTCATATTTATATAGAAATTTATGTGAATTTTCATAAAGCATGCCTTATTTATGAAAACAAAGAGAGATAACTCTATAATTTTGGGGGGGAATTGCCTTTTACTACAGAAAACAACGGAAAACGGAATATATTTTTAAAATACCATCCCATCCTCCTCGTGAAACAATAATTCCTCTTTATAGGGTTTATGAATTGTTATTTTACAAATTCATATGAAAGCTTTTGTTGTTTCAGAGGGGGGGGGGGGGGGCATATGTTTTCAGATACAAATCAGCAAAAATGGTCATTTTATTACCAATTTTAAATGAGATTACAAATAAAACAATGTACTTTATCAATCTTATATGCTGAATTTTATATAGGTTAAATATAAGGAAAGATTAAAGGGTCATTTTTCCATTTCCATGGGTATTTGAAAATCTCACTATGTTTTAAAGCCTGATTTCAATGGATTAAATTTACACCCCACCCCCTTCCCGGAAAAAAAGTCGTAAATAAGAGCAATTAAGTTTTTTTGCATTGGTTTTAAAACTATCAATCAATTAAATCAATTTAATTAATAATGAACTTGTCTTTGCATTCAAACAAATTTTAATGGCCAAATTGCCATAGATATTAAATTAAATGGGTGTAAAATGTAGGGGGAATCGAGAGTTAGCGTGTGTGGTTCTTTGTTTCTTTTTTCATGTTAAAGAGACATAGTCATAATAGGTTTTGCGTTTTTGGCTTTAATTTTGAATTTTCGTATTTACTGCATTTTAAAAATAAACTGTTCAATGTTGATATAGCATGCAAAATCTCAATATCCAATAAATGCATTTTGCATTACCTAATATAAAACACGGGTGTATGTTCGTAAGAAGAGGCTCGAGTTTTGTAATAAAATCTTTATGTTTACGTTTGACCAGATTTACACTGCAAAAATCACTGACAACAAAAGACACCACTAGCGTGTTGGCTTTGCCTTCTTAAGTTTTTATTCTGATACCTCGAATATGTTTTAAACACCACGGATTCCCCAAGATTCTTGGATATAAAGGATAAATTTTAGTACGTGAAAGTAAGCATGTCAGGAATTCGTAGTGATGATAATTTTCAAATTGAGAAAGGATCCTTTTCAGGTTTCTGACTAATTAAAATATTAAAAGTATATTTGCATAAATGTCCTTTATATTGAGATGTTAAGAATTTAAAAGATTATATTTTTTCTTTCCATATTACAGCAGACAACTTAATAAGGAAATGGTACACTGTGTTTAATTAAAATCTAGCAGGGAATATTTTGGGGCGGAACAGCGGTTTTGCTTTTTTAAATTTTCTACAGAATAATAAACTTATTTCTCACGTTTAAACAATCTATATTTTAGGATTTTTTAATGTAAATAAAATCTATAATTAAGGAGTTTAAACATTTGTTTTTAAAATACATTATGAATTTTTTTAACAAACTTCAATATTTTAGTTCCCCGCTTTCGCGAAAGCTAGGAGAAATTAAATCTCATTCATCCGTCAGTTTGTCACAGAAACTTTAACCTTGGCCATAACTTTTGAATGAGAAAAGCTAGGGCTTTCATGTTTCACATGTATATTGCCTGTGACAAGACCTTTCCAAATATATTCTGACTTTTGACCTCGTGACCTTGACCATGAAGTTTGACCTAATTTTCAAAATTTTAACATTGATAATAATTTTTGAATGAGAGAAGATAGGACATTCATATTTGACTTGTGTATTACCTGTGACAAAAAATTTCCAAACATGCTATGATTTTTGACCCCGTGACCTTGACCTTGACGTTTTACTTACTTTTCAAAAATTTTAACATGACTTCAACCTTAGTCATAACTTTTGAATGAGAAGAGATGGGGCTTTCATATTTCATATTCACATTACTTGTGACAAGACTTTTTATTTATAATATGAGTTTTGACCCCGTGAACTTGACATTGAAGTTTGACCCTATTTAAAAAAAAATAACATTGGCTGTGACAAGACGTTTCCGAATGTCCTATGATATTTGACTCAGTGACCTTGACATTGAAGTTTGACCTAATTTTCATAAATTTTGTCATTGGTGATAACTTTTGAGGAATAGTAGATAGGGCATTCATAATTGATATGTGCATTACCTGGTTGAATTTGCTTGTTAACATTTGTAAGCTTTTTATTTCTTTAAGATTGATAAAATTCCCTAATTATTCAGTATGTCTACAAAATGAAATCAATATTTGAAACTTTCCTTGGCTGTATCCAGCATTTGGGATGTAAAATTAAAACACGAAAAGACATGCCAATAGGTTTTCGTTATAGCAAAAAGGAAAAAAAAAAAAAGGAAAAAATGCAAATGTTACAAGCACCAAGCATTTTTAGAGTAGTGGTGAAAAATGACCAAATCTAACACGCATGAAAAACTCGAAAACTCGCCAACCTTGAAAAAAAATATTTCATCGGGGAAAGGGGAGAGTTGATATTTTTATGTCCCCGTAATCGAAGTTTCGGAGGTATATAGTTTTTGCCCTGTCCGTCCGCCTGTCTGTCTGTTTATCTGTTTGTCTGTTTGTCCGCAAAAACTTTGACATTAACTATAACTTTTGATTGGTTGGAGCTATGATTTTCATATTTCACTTGTGTATTTCTTGTGACAAGACCTTCCTTTGGGTACCAACATATTTGACCTCTTAACCTTGACCTTGGAGTTTGACCCACTTTTGCAAAAATTTACCCAACTTTAACCTTGGCCATAACTTTTGAACAGTTGGTGCTAGGGCTTTCATATTTCACATGTATATTAATCGTGACAAGACCTTTCCATGGTTATATATATTTTGACCATTTGACCTTCACTTTATAGTTTGACCCACTTTAAAAAAACTTTAACCTTGGCCGTAACTTTTTAACAGTTAGTACAAGGGCTTTCAAATTTCACAGGTATATTCCTTGTGACAAGACCTTCCTTTGGATACCAACAACTTTGACCTTTTGACCTTGACCTTGGAGTTTGGCCTACTTTTCAAAAACTTTAACCTTTGCCATAACTTTTGA